GGGACTTGGTGCAGACCGTCGGGCCGCCCCACCAGCGACTCTGGCACTGATGTGTGGACTCTAGTCTTCCACGCAGCCCCACCCCACGTAGCAGCCCCCCAGTTGGGGCCAGGACCCAGCCGCTGCAGCTGCACTGGAGGTGTTTGTCCCCGTGGGCTGTCAGGACCCAGGGGCTGAGGCTGCGTCCTAGCTTGTGTGGGAAGAATGAATGGCTGATTGAGGAAAGGGAATCATCACCCGGGAGAGCGGAGCAGATGTCGAGGGCCAGGAAGGAACGCCAGGGCTTGCAGGGACCTTGATTAGTCCATGACTGGCCCGATTCAGGACCTTTTGGACATTGCTCATTTCAGAAACAGAAAGGTCTTTGAGGCTGGGGACGTGGCCCGCTGGCCATAGACCATGGGGAAGGCGTTGGCCTGGCGTGGTGACCCTGTCTGTGAGATTGCAGGCGGGAACCCCCCTTTGGGAGTCCCCTGAGAGCACCCTCTGTGCCTCCCTGGACCCACAGCTGCGGACGCTGTGCTGCTGGCACTGGCTGCAGCCACTCAGGGGCGGCCGCTGATCTTAGGGCTGAGCTTATCTGAGCTGTTTGGTAGTTTTTATTCTCCTTAATTTTCTTTCATTCACTTTTCCCCAAATTCTGACAGATATTTGTTGAACACATTGCAAAAGTCCAGTGTTCATCCGGCGATAAGGGTGTACACACTGGTGAACGGGGTCACCGTCCCCGCATTCTGATGGCCACAGACATTGGTCCCTCCAGCAGAGTGTGAGCCAACAGGGGAGGACAGGATGTGGGGGGGCTCGGGGCGGATGCTGGAGGAAGTCGCCTGGAGATTGGGCCTGCAGCATAATTTCAGACAGAGTGCAGCCGAGTGTGTTCCCGACAGTGAAAAGCTGGTTTATTAATGTGTAGGGCTCTCGGGGTGGAGTGTGTTTTTGTCGCCTCCCCTACTTTGTGCCATTCACCTGGGGAGCTGGAAATAGCAGAGAGGAGCCTGCATAGCCGCAGGGTGGCCCAGCTCTGAGGAGTGCGGCTGCCAGATTCCATGTTTTCCCTGGGACGTCCTGGAATTTAAAGGGAGTTCCCTCCTCACCTTACTACAGTCTTCCTTCTCTTTTAAAAAGTTTTTATCCTAAAATGAATGTACACATGAGAGAGACCCACTTCCAGGGTGGATGTGAAGTGAGCCTGGGCACTCTCTCCCCACCTGGGAGTTGAGCCTGCCCCGTCCCGGGAGCCATTCCTCCAGCTCTGTGCTCAGTGCGCTCCTCACTCCGCTCTTTTAGTGGCCACATCTGTGCTTGTTAGGAGATGTCGCAGTGTCAGACTGTCACAGCATAGCGAGAGAACAGAGACAGGCCACCGTCGCTCAGTGGCTCGGGGAGATATCCTGACCACATCAAAGTGCTTCAAACAATTTTTCAAACAAAACCCTCTTTCAGTTTCAAGGAAGTAGCAGGATCTGTTATACAGATAAGGATCTTACAAACCCGCTTGCTGCAGGTGGACGCTGCCACGAAGTGACCGGCCAGCTGGGCGCCAGGCCAGCCTCGACTGCCCCGTGATTTCTGCATGGCGATGCTGCTCAGTACATTTCCAGTGACCTCACGGTGTGAGAGCTAGAATCACTCGGAGGAAGCGCGTCCTGGCGGGGAGCTGGGCGCCACCGTTGCCTTTGTGTTACTTTAATAATTCAGAATGTTGAAATGGGCCGCCTCGGGAAATAGCCTCTTGGGTGAACCATTCCCAGATTTGCTTTTGTCTTTGTTATGATGGGCGTTGTTTTGTATTCTGTCTTTTCTTCATTCTCTTTTCTTTCTAAAATGCCCCGTGTCTCCATCTACTGCGTAGGAACATCAAGCTCTGAATGTCAGTCGGTCATGGGAGGGGTGACCCTGGCCAGCTGGCCCTGAGGACCTGTTGACTGCTTCTCAGATGGCTTTGCAGGTGTCGTTGGTTGGGCTGGGTCCAGGCTTGAGCGGCACTGCCACTTTTGACCACATGCTGCCTTTAGTGGTGAGGTGCGTGTTAGAGCCCTGTTGTCTGGGCAACGCTAAGGGAAGGGTCCTTTTGGTTCTGATTTCGTTCCTACTCTTTAAACTCTGGCATGACTCAGCAGACTCCTGGGAGAAGGCCCAGGGAGAAAGCAGGCCCACCCAGGTCACCACGCAGGGGCTCCGACGTACGGGGGCTTGTGTGGAACGAGGACCTAGAGCTGGCCCTCTGTTCTCATTTCACCTCGCTCCCCAGGCTGCTGGTTTTCCCAGAAGTCAGCAGGAAGCTTGCTTCTTCTCTCTGTGAGGTTCTGGGCCAAGGCTGGAATCATGTCACTGCCTTCTTGGCCACTGTGCCATACTGCAAATCCTAGGCTTGAAAAGAATCTGTTCTATGTCTTATTCAGACTGGGGTTCCAGTCTCGAGTGACATGGAATGTAGACTAGAACAGTGCTTTCTGTATATCTCAGTGTTCTTTATGTTTGCATTTTCACCATTTTAATGAGCCCGTAAAACCTCCCTTTTGTGGCTCGGAGGGGAGCTGCCTGAATCCACAATACTTTCACTATGTATTTCCATAATACTCTCAGTCACTTAAGAAGGTGGGGGTGGGGCTGGACAAAGTGCACCATTCCCAATTGTTTAAGAAACCAGTGAAATCGTCCCTGGCTTGAGCTGCGTGGAATGCAGGCTGAGGGGGAGACCTGTGTGCAGTTTCTCTTTCCCACCCAGGAGAGCATCTCTAACAGATGCTGTTCACGGTCACATGCACTTGGTCAGGGACTGCAGTGAGCTTGGCCAAAGTCCTTTGGATTCCAGGCTGGGGGTATAGCATGGTGGTGGAGTGCTTGCTAGCACGCGCAAGGCCCTGGGTTCAATCCTGAGCACCACAAAGAGGAAGAGGAAAAGGCGTTTGGATTCTGCAGACAGTGAGGTGCATGGAAACCATGTGCTCCTTGAAGCAAGCGTTCCCACTGAACCCTCCTTGTCCCCCATAGTGTCACAGTGTCCCAGGGCTCCCAGTCTCCCCGTCCACAGCATCCTCTGTCCTGAGGTACCTTAGTCAATGGTCACCTTCATCACAAGGTGACCAAGGTGTTGCTGGAGCCCGAGTAGGATGGTGGGAGATGAGGTCTGAGAGGTTTGCAAGACTTGGCCACAGAACGCGAGGACTGAGCCCATCCCGATGTGGGGGCCGTGGAGAGCTTGAGCAGAGAGGATCTAACTTGTGTCTCTCACATCATTCCTCTGGCCCTGTGGCCCACCATGCCCAGTGGGGAAGACACCAGCGTGCCCAGTGGGGAAGGCCCTGCAGCAGTCCACGAGCAAGACCACGACTGGGTGGGGCAGGGAGCTTCGTGCGCTTGTCACGGGTCTCAGTGGAGATCCTCTGTTTTGCCCACAGCTTTGCAGGCCGTGGTGAGCAGGAGGAGTCGGGGAAGGCCCCAGCCCCCGGAAGGCTGGTTACCATGTGCCGAGGGAGAAGAGGGTGGGAAGGTACGTGCTTGGCATGTGGAGCTGCTCCGACTCTGAGCCTGGGTGAACCAGCAGAGGAGTGTGGACTAGTGCTCAGGGGATGACGGGGACAGAAGAGGTCAGGGAGAGCAGGGAAGGAGCGGCAATAGGAGAGGAATAGAGTCAAGGGGAGCGGGATCCAGAAGAAAGTCTGTAAGACAAGTGAGAAGGAACCCTGATCTAACCACCTGGAGGTCGAGGCAGCCCCTGAGGAGGACAGCGCCAGTGTAGTCGCCATGTGGTCGCGGAGGTGAAGGCTGAATACCCGTGTTCAGGAGAAAATGGGAGACTAGACACGGTGAGCAGGGCACACAGTTCTTCTAAGATTTGTAAAGAGAGGACCAAAGGGCCAGGGCTGCAGGGTTGAGCTTTGCCCCTAAGACTGAGATTGAGTGTGAATGTGGCACTTGGGTGGCTGGCAGTGGTGATTTCACAGCCAAAGGAAAGGTCAGGGGCAAGACGGAGAACTGCCGGGCAGAGGAGCTGCAAGTGGCGGGAAGGCAGGACCTGTGGGCAGATGCTGTGGGGGCAGAGGTGGCTTGGGGGTGTGAGAAGTTCCCTCCTGGTGTTCGGTTTCCAGGGAAACAGGAAGTCAGTCAGTAGTAAGAAGGAGAAGCTGGCAGAGGTGGAGATTTGGAGGAAAGTGGGCTGGGAAGGGCTTTCTGCATCCCAGATTGCCTCATGCAGAGAGTGAAAACGGGAGAAGTACCCTCTGGCCTGCCTGGTGCCAGGGAAGCTCAACTTGGTGTCCTCTGGCCAGCACAGCCTGGCGAATCTCCACGTGGGTGCCATGGCTTTTGTCACAGTGAGACAGAACCGAATCTGTGGGACAGGCAGAGAAATTTAGCTGCTTCTCCTGGTTCGATCAAGCTGCGTGAAATTCGCTTTTCCTTTTTACATCCTTGGCTTGCTGAGGCTGGTGGGCAGCTGAGTCTGGCCAGCTAGATCCAGGCACTGTCCCTGGTCTGGCTGCAGTGATGGGTGGATGGGACATGTGTCGGACTGCTGGGCCCGTTAGGAGCCTTCATGAGAGGCAGGGCTGTGGGGAGTGGCCGACGCACACTTGGTATGCAGGGGTCGCAGGTTGTCCCCACACCAGGTGAGAAAGGCAGGGTCTCCTGGAGGTTAGCGACCACCTGTGGAGGGTGAAGCCCGCCCTGTGGCTGTGTGCTTTGGAGGACTTGGGGAGCGTGTGCCGGGTGGCACGATGCTGGGGTGGCTGGGGGACGGTGGGCTTTAGCTTCAGACCTGGCAGCAGGATCAGTGAACCAGGTGTCAGGGACACCAGGAAGCCAGGAGGAGACGTGGAAAAGCCTGACTGTGAGGACTGGTGAGGACGCAGGCCCTGACACAGATTCTGGAGCACCGGGACCCAGCTGCGGCTGTCACAGCCTGGGGCAGAAGAAAGGCTACCGTCACAGTCCCGACACTTGACTGTGCTCCACACTCCCCTACAACACAGCACCGTCTGGCCCAGTTGTCAGCAATGCCGAGCCAGAAAAACCTGGGTTTAGGTATGGCCATTGGGGTGACTGGCCGCAGTAGGCCCAGTCTTAGCCAGATCACCAGAAAAGGGAAGGTAAACACGGAAACCAGGAGCTGACTAATGGCCAGGGCGAATGGCCAGGGCAGCCAGAGCGCCCTGGGGAGGACGATGGTCAGCAGGGGATGGGGGAAGTGGGCTCACTGGTCGGAGTCCCTTCCTCTTTCTGGAACTAGCCCATCGTCTAGATTTGGACTCAGTCCTGGCTCCAAGAGCTGCGTGTTCCCATTCGCCAGAGTGATGGGATGGTTCAAGTGAAAGGCACGAACTAGTAACCAGCGTTGGTGCAACTAGGTCAGGCCTGGCCTCGAGTGCCTGAAGCCGGCTAGGCATATGGGATAGTCTTTCTGCTCAAAATCATTAATGTGAACGTGGCTGCTTGGCCTCGAGCCCACAGCTCCGCAGCCAGGCCTTGATCTGGCTCAAGAATCCCTAGGAAACTTGTTTGTGACTTTAGAGCCTGGCTTTCCTTGCAGGGCTCTCTGTGGAGACAGCTAGTCAACAGGGCAGAGTGAGTCAGGGCTGCTAACTAGCCCCTTCCTGCATGAACTGGTTAACCGGCTCTCCTGGCTTCCTGCTTGGTTCTGAACTCCAGTGCCCGGGGCTGCTTTTCTGCCTACCCACAATAGCAAGGGACTTCTTTTGTCTGCTTCTGGTCTGAAAGAAGGGCTTGTTTTGAGGTTTGGACCACAAATAATAATCTATTGTTCCCTATAATAATAATCCACCCTCTTTTAGCAGAAAAAAATCTGCTTGATGTAGTATGGCTATCAGTTTATTTAAAAGAATAGCCAAAAGTGCCCATTGTGTCCTGAGAATAAATATTTGGAAGATGGTTGGGAGGAATGGGGGCGTGCCCTCTTCTCCCTGGCCAGAATCATCCTTAAGGCCTCAGTAAGATTCTGAAACCGACCATCAGTGCTGGCGACAGTACCGCTCCTTTTCTGCCTGTCACGTTTTAAGAATCGTCAGAACACTGCACATATTCACTACCAACAGCTTGTTTTAAAATATCTTATTTTGAAGGGCTGGGTGAGTTTAAGCTAGGAATTTTAAAGAGCCTCCAGAAGCAGCTGAGCTCAGTGCGCCAGCGTGTGTTTTGCCCACTGAAGCTTTTCCACTAGCTGAGCCCAGGACATGGCAAGGAAAACACCCATCGCTGGCTGCATGAACACAGCTCTGTTCTCAGGATCTGAAATCAGAGGCCACTGCAGGAACTATTATGGATTGCTGCTAAAATGGGAATCTTCACTCAAAAAAACAGACTCAAACTAAGTGAAGGTTAGAAAGAAACGTATATGGCCCTAAAATTCTTAGCTTAAAAACATGGAGTCCAATGCTTTAAATGTAGGTGAAGAAAGTTCCTGGGGTCACAGTGCAAATCTGAGAGCTGCTTAGAGGAGCAGGATGTGCCTCAGTTTGCCACAGACAGGCCACGGGGGCAGCTGCCAGCTCTCAGTGGGTGAAGGAGAATTCTGGAACTCCATGCGCCAGGGACACCGTGCCACAGAGGCCACGCAGGAGCGGAAGTGAACCCTGCTGGGAGGGGCCATTGAAAAGGCTACACGCTGGTTCCAGCTGTAGAGCGTCTGGCGAAAGTAGAAACAGGCCGAGAAAGGTCGCCAGGGATGGGGCAGCGAACCAGGGCCCAGCCAGAGATGCTCTGTGTGGCACTGTGACAGCGGACACATGTCATCGTACCCAAAGAGTACACACAGAGTGGCCCTCACGTGAGCTGTGGGCCTTAGTCAGCAGTGCTGGGACAGGCTTGCTGACCAGCTGAGAACAGCGTGACTAACGGGAGGCGGGGTCGTGGTGAGAATTCTCCACTTCCCATTTCGTCTGTAAACCTAAAACTGCTTTTAAAACGTCTGTTAGTTCTGAAAACATACATGTTAGATTTAGTAAAACTGATAAAACTTACACAGAGATGAAAAATTGGGCTCTATATGTGTAATAGGAATTGTAATGCATTCTGCTGTCAAAAAATTTAAAAAAGAGAGTACCAAAAAAAAAAAAAAAAA